GTATATAGGGAAAAACATCAGTCTAATTTTATTTTTTTGTATGTGGCTTTCCAATTTATTTTTGAGCTTTGGGTCACTGTTCAATTTTTTAAGACAGAAAAATACATAGAAATGGCTGCTTTGCAACCTTGAATATATTTCTAATGAAGGACTCCTTGAATTCTCATTAGGAATATAAAATGTTTAGAGCCCACAGAGCACTATAAAGATTTTTTTTTTTAAACAGAACCTCATGCTGTACTGTTTCCCTTGGAAGACTTCCCAAAATTTTATATCTCAATGCCATTGGGATCACTAATCATGTTTGAGGCTTGATAGCAAATTGTTAGTGATGGTTTGGCAGACTTCAATCTGTAATTGTAAGCATTTTCTCAAACACCATTAGTGTTGCTTCCCTTTTATTTGGGACTTTTTCTAAATTACAGTTTGGTGCTATGCCTATTTGATATATATGTTTTAAATATTCAGTCCCTACCACAGTAAACTGGAGATGACACACATATCAGATCCTATTCAGCTTTGGCTTTATATGAAAGATGGCAGTTTAACTGATTTTAAATTGTGTTGTCATCCAATTTTTTTTTTTTTTTTCAGGTTGAGTGCTTATAAGTCTGAGCTCCTTCTCACTAAAGCCTTCAAGGGAAATTTAGAGCAATTCATTTCTAGTGATTTCTGTTGATCTTCTATCTCCCTATGGAATTTTTGGTTTTGGAAGAAACATATCTATCTCTAGGTGGTAAAACTCTTATTTATCTTAGAGTAACTGAAATCTTAGTGTTTTTGTCTCCCCCTCCCCACTTCCCACTGCCCTTCTGTGACATTTCTTCTGGATGAGGATCAAGTTTCAGTGTGTCCATGATTTTGTTCTCTTGCTTTAGGATTCTAAAGTCCTATATTGTGTTAAAGGAAGTCTGTAGACTTTTTGTAGTTGTAATTTATAGCCTTTGTTGAATTTTCTTTAATATTCACGTTTATTACTTTTTCCAGGGCAGATCTTTTGCTTGGGGGTGAACCAAAACTCTTAGAGCAAATTTCCTTTATATTGCTGGTATTGTCATCTTTATTTTAAACTTAGAATCAAATAGTATTTATATTTCTTAAATCTTTTATTTATAAAGTATATTGGATTTCATATAAAATAGAAGATTTTATGTTTCTTTGTTTGCTTGGGGTAGTTTGTCAGTATGAAATGAATGAAATTTGATATTCCTTGGGGATGAGATTTATTGAGATTGAGTATGTGTATTGTGAAAAACACTCAGGTATGGCTGTCAGCCCTGTGCAAATAAAGCCTTGCAGAAAGCTTTTACTAGAGACTTTTGGGCCCTAAATTTTGCATATTTTAAACTTTTTATAAGACCTTTGATGTTTAATTTTGTTTGTTTATTTATTTATTTTGCCTCAATGTGCAACATTTCTAGTAGAGGCAAAATCTGGTGTTTTTTCTTGTAATACATTCTTAGACATTTAAATTTTAGTTTGCCCTGAGGACATTTTTTCTCCCCACTTATTTTTATTTCCCACTTAAATGTCTTATAACTTTTAGTATAACTGCTCATTTATATTATCCACACACACATATGCAAGCTGTGGCAAAAATAGGTTTACAGTTGTTTATATGTTAAGTAATACAAGAATTAAATAATACAAGAATAAACTGTTACATGTACTCACAACTCAAACTATAAACCCACTTTTGACCAACCTTGTATATCTCCTCTGAGTAAATAAATAATAAAAATATTACTTAATACATGTTGCTCTATATAAAATGATATATAGCCACCTCTATAAACCTACAAAGTTACAATATAAAATTAATGGATAGATTTAAAAAACATATTAGCTACAATCCTTGAAGATTTAGTTATACCCTGTGAAAAATGATGACATTGTGCAGGAACCCAGAATGAAGTGTGTGCGTGAGTTTGTGTGTGTTTGGCAGGGGAGGATGGAGAGAGTGAAATATGTCTGTCTTCAGTAACCATGTAAAGATTGAGTACTATGGCCAGGCTATCAATTCTTAGTTTGATATCATAGTTTATTCATGTGAGAGATAGATAAATATTGGAATGTGTTATTTTTAATCTTTAATCTTTTAAATAACATTTTGCTAGAGTGATTTCTAGACAAGATTTTTTATTGTTATTTATTGCCTTTTGATTCCTTTTATGTTAGTTATGGGGTTTCCTATAGAAATCACATGGGTATAGGATTTCTTTAGGTCATACGAAGTTTAGTTTCAATCATGTATGATGTAGTCCACAATGTTATGTAGATCAGGAGTGGGGAACATTCAGCCCAAGGGCCAAATAAGGCCCGTAAAATCATTTGGTCTGGCCCTGCCAAGGCATTAGGGTGAGTCAATTAAATGTTTGACCAAACATAGCAAGCTAATTTTTAAGTTGATAATGTATGGCCCACAAATGATGTTATAAATATCCGAATGTTCCTTGGGGAAAAAAAGTTTGTCCCTGATATAGATTTGCCAATGTACTCATTTTGTGTGCTCATTCACCTATTTCACATTTCTCACCAAATTCTCACCAAACATAATTCAGAGGAAAATACCATAAGATAAACTGACCTGTTTGCTATCAGATTATTTCTATAATATTAGAGGCCCAGTGCACAAAATTCAAGAACTGGGGTGGGTCCCTCAGCCTAGCCTGCCCCCCTCCCCCCTCCCACCCTGTCACAGTCTGGGAGATCTCAGGGGATGCCTACTGACTGCTCAGGGGAACAGTGAGCGGGGAGCAGGCCTAAGCCGCAATCTGGCCTCCCACTATGGGAGGTGACCAGTGGGCTGATCAGGATGGCTTGGACAGCGAGTGGCTGGCCCTGCCCCCAATTGCACCACTGCCACTAGTGGCCTCCCTCTGCAGGAGGCAATCCCAGCAGGCCTGTCTGGGGATGGTGCTGTGCAGCTGAATTGCCCTGTCACTGCTGGAAGGGCTCCCTCTGCTGGAGGCAATGAGGTGGGTGAGCTGGGGAGGCACCAGACCATGTTGCTCAGCTGCCACTAGTTGCCACCCCACCCCACCCCATTGCTGGCCCCTACCTCTGCCTGCTGGCATGCACCTTGGCTGGCCAGGCAAAACCTGCTTGCCAACCTTGCCCGTACTGACTGGCTGTTCCACCGTTCAGTCGATTTGCATATTACACTTTTATTATATAGGATTGCTTTACTTGGGGGGAGATTTTTTTTTTTTGCTTCTTTTATAAGTTTATTATAAAAAATATCAAACACATATAGAAATAGAGCAATCAGTGTAATGAACCCCATGTACCCATTACCCAGTTTTAACATTATAAGTACATGGACAATTTTGTTTCATTGATCACCCACTAGATTTTAAAAGCAATTCCAGATTGCTTCTCATTTCTTCTGCAAATCCTTCAGTATCTATGAAAGATGACTGATTACACAGAAAATTAATAATTCCTAAACACCACCAAATATGGATTCTACATATATTTTGAAGGTAAAGCTAACAGGGTTATATGTGGAGCATGGTAAAAAGAAACATGTCAAGGACATGTCCAGTGTTTGGCCTGAGTAACTGGTAAAGTGGAATTTGCCATGACAGATGATTGGATAGATGGGCATCAATCATCTGTCATGGGCATCAATCATGTCATGGCAAATTCTGGAAGCTGTGGGATGGATATCACTTTGTGGTTTAGCACCAAGAACACAGGATTTGGATATTTAAAAAAAATCAAGATGGGCCCTTGTTGGGCGGCTCAGCTGGCTGGAGTGTTCTTCCATACATCAGAAAAGGTAGATTCCATCTCCAGTCCAGGTATATACAGGAGGCAAGCAATTAATATTTCTCTCTAAAAATCAATAAAAAAATTTCTTCAGATGAGAACTAAAATTTAAAAAACCAAGAGGTCAGTTGTAAACTATATGAAGTACTACACAAGTCCTAAATGTTTGTGTTTGAATGTTCTCAAAGTTGTGTTGCCCTCTGATGGGAGCATGAGGCCACCCTGCCAAATTCTGCTTGTTTCATTTTGGGACCATGTCTGCCTCCTTGCTAAGATGATCTGTAAGGCTGTTAAGAATCAAACTGGAAGGCTTGAAAAGCCCTACAAAGAGCTATTTTATTTGGAAACTTGTAGCTCCTTCTGATACAAGCCACTTTGGCTGAGTCTATTGACCTGAACTAGCGTTAGGATGGAATCCTTTCCTACAATGGGTTTAGTTGCTAATAAAAATTAAAAATGTCTTTAAAAAAACTGGCGATGTGAGAAAACGGCAGCTGAACGCACCAATTCCCATTGTGTAAGATGGCCAGCCTATCAGTCAGTATCCAGGAAAAAGTATTCTGCCACTCTTGACTCGGCCAAGGGCCAAGCCAGTTCCTGAGCAGGCCTCTTCTCTGAACCACAGGCCTGGGAACCAAGAATACCACTAGACAACCTCAGTTCAATATACAGTGTCTTGGCGCACTCCTGCCTCAGATGGAGAAATACGTAAAAGTTTTTCAACCCCAAACCTGTCATGGTGGGATGATTTAGGAAGCCTGCGTAGATTGCAGCAAATAATGACGTTAAATGAATGGGACAGTTGAGGAGCCTGGCTATGGCTTTTGGTTTTTGCAAGACGTGCTTTACAGAGTAATGGGAATAATTGCTGGTTGAGGAGGCTAACAGCAAAAGGCACAATAATTCTTGGAGGAAATCCAGGGCTAAGGATGAACAGGGATAGGACCTGGCACACCTTACAGCGGGGACACTTCTGGAGTTTGGCAGTGAAGTCCCACCTGACACTACACAGTAAGGAAGTAGGAACAAGTTTATTTTCCACACACTTTCTTTTTTGCAGAGACCTCTGAGGTTGGAATTGATAGCAGTGGCAGGAAGACCAGAGATAAAGGAAGGCACTGATTTTCTTTTCCCCAACCCTCTCATACCAAAAAGGCAATTCATCATGCTGTATTATCTTTAATAAAGTACAAAGACTTTTCCAATCATGTTACCTAGAGCTCACTTCACCCACTGCTCTGTTTAGCCGCCAGTCTCTTGTCTCCCTCTTCAGCAATGGTGAGGCGGATACCCTTTCCACGGGGTAGGGAAATCCATGGTTTGTTGCCTTTGCCAATTACAAAAATGTTGGAGAACCGGGTGGCAAAGCTGTTGCCATTGGCATCTTTCACATGAACTACATCAAAAGAACCAGGGTGCCTCTCCCTGTTGGTGATCACGCCAATTCTTCCCAGGTTAGCACCTCCGGTTACCATGCACAAGTTACCAGCGTCAAACTTGATGAAATCAGTAATTTTGCCAGTCTCCAAATCGATCTGAATGGTGTCGTTCACCTTGATGAGGGGATTAGGGTAGTGGATGGTGCGAGCATCATGAGTTACCAGATGAGGGATTCCTTTTGTGCCCACAAAGATCTTCCTCACTTTGCACAACTTGCACTTGGCCTCCTCAGGTGTAATACGATGAACAGCAAAGCGGCCCTTAGTGTCATAGATCAGGTGGAAATTCTCTCCAGTCTTGTCAATGCTGATGACATCCATAAAACCAGCAGGGTAGGTTATATCGGTTCAGACCTTGCCATCAATCTTAATAAACCGATGCATGCAGATCTTCTTCACTTCATCTCCTGTTAGAGCATACTAAGTCTGTTCCTTAAGAAAATGATGAGAGGGAGACATTCTCTCAGCTTGTGGGGACCGGTAGATGGCCGAGGAGCAAACACACCGGTCAGTTTATCCAGCATCCAATGCTTTGGAGCTGCTACACACTTCAGATGCTTCTTGGGACCACGAGCCATGGCTGCTCTAGGCAAAGAAAGAGCTACTTGGAGGGAGATTTATCCAAAATGAGCTCCAGAAGGAGTGTTTTTCAAGGTGTAGTCCCTTCATTTTAACAGGCAACCCAGGTGAGTTTTTCAAGGTGTAGTCCCTTCATTTTAACAGGCAACCCAGGCAACTCAAATATTATAATGCATTATATTATTTGAGAGGATCTCTTTTGAAGTATGACACTTGAGTAAAGAGACATTGGCTCATTAAAATTATGCCTCTGGCATTGACCACATTCAGCACCTGATTTTTATTGTTAAAAATTGAGTACCCAGTATCTCTTTATTAATCTATATAGGCTCATAATGTTTCCACATATTGGAAGTCCCCATACTCCCTGAGCTTTGAGAACCAATTGAGATACTATATAAGGAAAGTGAGGAAGAAGTAAGAAAGAAAAGGAAAGATGAACAACACAAAAGAAGGACTGGAAGGAACCTGTAAGCCCCTTGTCACTCAAATAGGGAATATAGTGAATAGTGTTGTAATGATGGTATGATGCCAGGTGAGTACTGAAAATATCGGGGAACACTTGGTAAAGTATATGATTGTCTAACCACTATTCTGTAACTAATATAAAACCTGAAACCAGTACAAAATAATATTGAATGTAAAGAAATGAAAATTGGAGTGAACTTTTTATAAATTTCAGTTTAAATAAAGGTTGTGTAGGAAGGAAGGGGGAGAATAAAAAAATAGTGTTTTTCATCTTACCACTTTATTGTCTTTTCAGTACATGAAAAAGACAGTTGTCTTTATATGGTGCTTTTATACTTTTCTAAGTCATTATCTTATTTTAATTTCAGGGCAACTTAAAGACAAGATAATTATTCTCTCCACTATTCAAAGAAAGGAAATCTTGGTGTCTAGTCCCAATGATTCAATTGTCAAACCCTTATTGTAAAGCAGGGTTAGTAAAATTTTCTGTGAAGGGTCATATCTATATTAACAAAAGCCTTGGAGGTGATCAGGCCAGCAGAGGTGTAGTTAGGGGGCAATCAGGCAGGCAGGTGAGTGGTCAGAAGCCAGTGGAATCCAACATAACCTGAGGATGGCCTGTACAAGATACATTGGACAAAAATTTTAAAGATGTCAGTTGGGTAAGATTCTTGTAGCTCAGTAGGACATAAACATGTGTTAGGTTAGTTTTCTCCTTTGTTTTCAGGGAATAGCATCTCTCTGATTCGTGGAAACAATATTTTGCAAGATGGAGGAGAAGGAGCTAGTCATTGTGTAAATGATGCAAATACACATGTAATGTAAAGTGAGTTATGAAAGACTGAGAAAAATATTTTCCTACCAGTGAGGGCTCATATCTCAGGACTGTGCTTATGCCCAGGCAGGCATGTGTACCAGACCTGTGCCTACTAATTTGTCATAAAATACAAGTCATTTCTGATTTTAAAAAGGTCAGAAAATAAGAGTTAGAGCTATATTTATAAGTTTAAGACACTCCCCTCTTTTTGAGGTTGTTGTAAATACAGATCCCTTTCAAATGTGACAAAGTTTTGAGTTCTTTCCTCAGGTCCCTGGAGGTTGGACAGCATAGTAAGTAGTACTGATTAATAATGATAGCATTTAAGTCTTTTATAGAGCTTCTTTCTGGAAGATACCTGATAAGCATTCATGAATCAAAAAGACAAGTGGTGGATGAATGCTCTCAAATTCATGTTTATCAAGAAGAATAATTACTACATTTTACATATCCTTGTTGGGATAATGTATGCATGCATAAAAATAAACACAGTTTCAGTTCAATGAAATTTTGTCTGAAGAATGATTTTGAGAGTATAAGCCAGGTTTTTGCCTATTATTAACCAAAATACTTCAATAGGTAACAGGGAAGAAAAATTTGAAAGTACATTTTGTAAAAAGAAATGCTTTCATTACAATGACTGGTTTTTCACAGTTGTTCAACCAGATAGGAGAAATAGCTTTCCATAATACCAGCAAATATCTGTTCAGACAAGTACAGAAAACGCTTATGTTGCAAAACTTTCTGTCAAGAACTGATGTGATTAAAACTTGATATTTTGTGTGCATGTGGGTGGCACTGTGAACATCATTCCATTCTTGGTATAGTGATATTCTTGAGGAGAATAGCTTTTATTTTTCTTATTATCTTCAAACTGAAGTTGTATCTCTATCCTGAACTTCAAATGCAAGTCAAACTTTCCCTTTGAAATAGGTACTGAAGCTTTTTGCCCTATTCTCAGGAATGAATAATGCAATTAGACTCTTCACACAAATTTGCTAGTGTCTTTAAGTGGTGGACTAGAAAAATTGCTAGAAAAGTTGCAATAAGAGAGAATAATAAAACTAGCCTACACTTTTACTAATGATGTACTAGTGGAAATATTTTCTTTTGTTATACATGTTGGAGAACACCTTATTGACCCTTACCTAAAATGATGTATTTTTATTAGTAATGATATGATTGTTTTAACACCCCTTCCCGTGTCTATTTGTATGTATACAATTCCTCATATCATACAGTATTTTTTAAGATTTTGTTTGCTGTTTCCTTTTTATTTTTAAGCAAATGTAGTATATCTAAATGACACTGTTATAGTTTCTTAGAAGTTCTTTAGGGTTATAAATCTACAGATAATTTACATCAAAACTATGTAGCGGTCACCTTTATTTTTATAATCTAAATGACATCTTTAGACATACCCATAAATAACAGGTGGGTGATTTGCACCCAGTGTGTCCGTCTCTTCAGCTAACTTCTGCTTAGTCTGTCTCAGTAGTGTCAGACCCACTCCCCATCCTGCTCCGGTGTTGCCTGCTCCAAATTTTGTGTGGATATGGGGATATTAGAAGAAGATCACATAGCAGATTGGACAGGTTGCCAGTGCAGCTATAAATGGAGATGAACAAAGTGAAGGAGGGCTAAAGTTGGGTGAAAGGCAATCAAACTGAACTGCATTGACCCTGTAGTACAGAGGCATGGATATGAAATGCGCAGATCACTTTGGTTTGCTTCATACACCCATTTTCTAGTTTGTTAGAAAATGATGACTAGTTATGACACACAAAAAAAGTGCTTTCCAAGCCTGAACTTTACAAACCTTTTTATCAGGCCTGGTAGAATTCAGTAAATGAAAGGAGGGGCAGTACTGTGTTAGAAAATGACAGAACATAAGGCTGATCTGAAAAACCCTTTAAAATACCTGCTGCGCACGACTACAGAAGCAGGAGAAGTGAGGAATTAGTAGTTGAAGTCAGGAATGTTTAAGTGAAAGGATGACTGGATCTATGGTGTAAGCTTACTGGAGGGTTTGAAATACATGCAGCTCAGCACAAGCTTGGTAGCATGCAGGGAAGAAAAGGAAGGGACTGAGTTGAGAGAGGGATTGCACAGGAAAGAGGATATTGTTGGGAACTGGGATTTTAGTTCAAGGAATGAAGTAAAATTTATCTGTCAAGTTTTAAAGGGATCCTGACAAATTCAAATCAGACACAGACTAAAGTAGATTATCCAAGGCTTCAGGTCATGTCTGGCATAGGGATACAGAAAAGAAATAAAGGAGTCTTCAAGCCCATTGAAGCATTCTGGAGAAATAAGGCAGAGAATAATAGAGTCTATCTAGCCCCTGGAAAGCAAGATTAGTGGGAATGAAATGTGGAAATGGGTTCTAATCAGACAGGAATGCAAGGCAAGCCACCAGTCTCCAGTAATCTCTTTGTACCTAAGAAGTTAAGGGGCAAGTGGTAAGTCATGTAGCATGGTCTTATGTGGGTATCAAGGGGCTCTAGTGTCCTTAGTGTGTCTGAAACACTTCTCAAGTCATCTCTGGTGCCTGGACCTGCCACAAAGCTTTCTGAGACACAGCTCAACAGTGATATTACTCATTAGTGTCAGGACAGGGTGGAGAGTGTGCAAATATGTAGTGTGCTAGGCATGTAATTGGGATGGGTGTGGGGTGGGTATGGATTGCATTGAGAGAATGTATCCTGCACAAAGTCATCTTACCTAATAATAAACAAACATGTAAATTGACCGTACCTTTGCTACACCCATATCAGAGTGAGTAGGCAAATTAACCCAAAAATATGGCGGTTAATTTGAATTCATAGGCGCCAAGCACCTGTGTCCAGGGAACATCCTGGCATCCAGGTCACTGTGAGGTAAGGCCGAGTGGGCCCAGAGCAGCCTGGGAAGGGCCTGAGCCAGGAAGCTCCTGGGCAGGGCAAAGCCTGCAATCAGAATGAGGGGGAAGAGCAGAACCTCCCATTGCAGCGAGCCTAGGGTACCCTGCCCAAGGCCTAATGCCTCCGCCAGAGGCTTTCCATCTGGACAGGAGCAGAGCCTCTAATCACTGGGAGCTGGGGGTCCCCTGCCCAAGGCCTAAAGCCTCAATCAGAGGCTTTCAGTCTGGGCAGGCCTGGACAGGGAGCAGGGAGGCGCCAAGAGAAGGCAGGACCAAGGGCAGGGCTTCAATTGGCCAGACAAGGCCAGAGGAGTCAGGGGCAAGGCCAGGCATGCTTGAGTTCTGAGTGGAGAGGTTAGGGTGTCAAGGTGGGGTGGTGGGCAGGGCTCATGTGGATTTCACGTACTGTGCTTCTAGTATTTTATAAATTGGTAACAATAGTTCAGTAAGTATTCTCAAGTTGAAAATTTTAAAGTAGACTTTTCTGGTTTTCTCCTATAACCCTAATTTGGTGTATCTTACCTAATAATAGACAAATATTTAAATTGACCATTC